TGTCAAGATAGGCCTCACTGGACTTCTTGTCTGATTTTGTCAGAAATCTCACCACAGCCATGTGGATCAGACCACTATAAGATTCTGCCCTCGGTTTTCAACAGACCAACTAGTTGAACAATTTCCCAAAAGCTGCTTACGCATAGAACCAGATCAAGAAATTTTAGATCCCCGGTTAGAGGAACATTCATGACATTTATTACATCCCACTTTCTCACTCGCCAATGCTCCCAAGTAAGGAAATACGATTAATGGGTGGAGTTTATTGATCTCTTCTAGTTCAAATAAGGTTAAATCATTGTACCCAATCTCTTCTCTATTTCCTCTGTGGCAAAATACCCTCAGGCATGGAGCTATTCTGCTGAGGGCTGAGGAGACAGGAAACTGTTTAACCTACACCACACTCAAAACCAAAAGCACTCTAACTTCAGTCATCAAGCTCCAGTGTGCAGATAATGTTTGTATGTGCACTCACTCGGAAGCGGAACTCCAGGGAATTGTCAACTCCTTCTCTGAGCGATACTTAAAAAAAAAGATCCAGGATTTCTTTTCCAATCACTCCTCGCAGCACAAATCCTCCATCCACCAACTTAGTTCAATGGTATGACATTTGGACTATTTTCCATATCATGGGAAACTCCTTTTGATGTGGCAGACATCACAGAATTGTTCTGGTGCAGAAGGTGGTTAGTCAGCCCATCATGTCTGCACCAGATCTCTGAAGAAGAATAATGAATTTGTGCCATTCTCCTGTCTTTTCTCCATAACCTGAAATTTTTTTGACTTAAATAATCTCTCCACTGCCTCAATTGAACTTGCCTACACTGTACATTCAGGTAGTGTATTCCACATCCTAATTATAATAAAACCAAGAACTACAGATGCTGGAAATCTGAAACAAAAAGAGAAATTGCTGGAGAAACTCAGCAGGTCTGGCAGCATTTGTGGAGAGAAAGCAGAGTCAAAGTTTTGGCTGAGTTTTTCCAGCAATTTCTGCTTTTTTTCCACATCCTAACTAACAACTGTGTGAAAACTTTCTTTTTGCACATCACAGTTGTTTATTTTGAAAATTGTATTATATTTGAGCCCTTTTGTTCTTGATACTTTAATGAAAGATATTATGACCAGCCTCCAGGCAAAGGTCCCCAAATAATTTCAGACCCAGATAGGACAGCCCAATCAGTTAAGCTTTAGAATGAGAAGGGAATTCCTTCCTTGCAAGGAATTCAGTCACAGTTCTGTACAGGTAAACCTGTCCAACTTGTACAGATGCCATTTCCACCAGAGCCAGTTCTAGTGTCCCTTGACTCTAAACCCTCCCTCCTGCACCATCTTTCCAGACACAAATCTATCTACCTTCTCCTATTATTTCTGTACTCGCTTTCATGTGACACTGGCAGTAATCTGGAGATGACTACTTTGGAGGTCCTGCTCTCTAATTTTCTACCAAGCTAAATACCAACCACAGGACCACATTCCTCTTCTTACTTATATTGTTGGCAGCAACACTAGAGCAGACTTTTCATCTTCCACTGAAGAATGTTTTGTAGCTGCACTGCAATGTTCTGACCCTGGCATCAAAAAGTCAAGAATCATGTCCATGTCACAACATGTCCATGTCACAAAAAATACGTATTTCCCTAATTAATGTATCTGCTTTCAGTACTGGTCTTCGACTACTCTTCATTGGGTCACCCATTGTTCTACAGGCTTGGGTCTTACTGCACTCCTTTGTTAAACTATCACCTTCATCAATATTCACAGAAGAAATGTGTGAGCAGGACCTCAAGAAATTCCTACGCTACCTGCTTGACTCTCATCAATTACTTCGTCATCACCCATTCCATATCTATTTGTGTGTTGCTACCCTGCATTGTGACAATATCACTAAAAGGGCTTTAGACTTAGTTCTTTGCTTTGCGATACACCACAATGACTCTAGCTACTCTTGAACTCCAAAGCCTGTAGCTCAATCTTACAAAACCTGCACATGTGCTAGTCTATGTCATCTGAAGAGTCCATGAGTCCTCACGTGCCACAGAATAGGAATTCTGCTTCGCTGAACTGCCTTGCCATACCTAAAACCTACTTCTGTGCTATTTACTATAAGCTTCTTTTTCTAAAGTTCTGGTGTTTGTAAAATGTATGCTTTTCAAAGTTTTACAACTTTGAGACACAGATTGTAATAGCAGTTGCTCCTCGCAGAACACCGCCTTCACTGAACACCACACTCATTCAGCCTAACTTCTTGTAATAAAACTTACCTAATGCACTTCTTCACCAGCACCAGCCTACCCCACCATACAGCAAATTCCTACTTTGAATATAATTCCAAAAGTACTCATTCTGTCTTGCCTCACTTGGTGTAGTCTGACTGTGTGGCTTAAAACAGAACCTTTTATGTAGAGTTTTCAAAGGTCACCAACTAGTTTAGCTTCCCACTGCAATTATTAACATCAAAGAAACAAAGGGCTTTTAGCAAACATCTGCCAGACCCAGGTGAGCCTCTGTTTAATGAGGTGAATTGATATAGATCTAGATTCTAGGCTAGACTGGGGCTCTAAATCTAACATTAAACTTGAGAAAGGCTTAATGTCTAAATCCTCACATTGTATCAGATTCCTCAAGTACTCATTATCTCTTCTCACACTGGCCCTTGTTGACCATGTGGGTTAAAAAAGAACCTTATTATATAGAGAGATGCTGGTGACTCACCAGACATAGAAGACAATATTCATCATTGTCTCCAATATGCCAGTTCACTGGTAGGTCAACTGATGAAAACAGTATTTGAGGACCAGCATCTCAAAACTGACTCTACAGTCATGGTACTGGCCAGCAGCTATCCCCAACCCCACGCATTAAGGTCAAAAATCACACAACACCAGGTTATAGTCCAACAGGTTTATTTGAAAACACTAGCTTTTTGAGATCTGCTCCTTCCTCAGGTGTAGTCTGGAACAGGAGTTATACCAACACAGAATTTATAAGCAGAAAGGTAATAACCCTAAAAAATGGCTTGCTGACCGCCTCATTGAATCTTTAATCAGTTAGAAAGGAGACGCTGGTTTCTATTGATTAAAATGCAATCCCCAGGATTTCTTTCAAGTCATTGCCCTGAGATAATTAAAGGTTTTAATAATGTATACAAGAGATGACATCTCAGGTCAGACAATGCATTTTAGATGTGAGGCCTTGGTTAGAATCTGTCTGTGTTTTAACCTGGAGTCGGGCTGGTTTTATGAGCAAAGTAGAATGCCTCTGCAAATATACAAACATCTTGGATGAAATAATTCACCCCATAGATTTATATATATGTGCATTGTTGTGTGTGTGTGTGTGAGAGAGAGAGAGAGAAACAGAGTGTATGTATGTGTGTGAGAGAGTGTGAGTGTGTGTGTGTGCTTGAGAAAGTGTATGTGTGTGAGGGTTTGTGTGTGTGTGAGGGTTTGTGTGTGTGTGTGAGAGAGAGAGAGAATGCGTGTTTGAGAGAAGGTCTGTGTGAGTGTGCAAGTGTGTGTGCATGTGTGAGAGACAGAGTATGTGCGTGTCTGTGTGTATGTGAATGAAAGAAAATATGTAGTGTGGTGGGGTCACCTGTAGTGTGACATGAACCCAAGATCACGGTTGAGGCCGTCCTCGTGGGTATGGAACTTGGCTATTAGCCTCTGCTCGGCGATTTTGTACTGTCATGTATCTCGAGTCCGCCTTGGAGGATGCTTACCTGAAGATCAGAGCTGAATGCCCTTGACTGCTGAAGTGTTCCCCAAATGGGAAGGAACATTCCTGTCTGGCAATTGTTGCGCAGTGTCCATTGATCCGCTGTCGTAGCATTGTGATGTTCTCGCCAATATGCTATGCCTCCGGGCATCCTTGCCTTCAGCATACAAGATAGACAGCATTGGCTGAGTCACATGATTATCTGCCATGCACGTGGTGGGTGGTGTCCGCACGTGTGATGATAATATCCATGTTGATGATCTGACACGTCTTGCAGAGGTTGCCATGGCAGGGTTGTATAGTGTTGTGGTCGATGTTGTCCTGAATGCTGGGTAGTTTGCTGTGAACAATGGTCTGTTTAAGGTTTGGCAGTTGTTTGAAGGTGAGACATGGAGGCGTGGGGAAGATTGTGGCAAGGTACTCATTGTCATCGATAATATGTTGAAGGCTGCGAAGAATATGGCGTAGTTTCTCCGCTCCCGGGAAGTACTGGATGATGAAGTGTACTCTATCGGTCATATCCTGTGTCCGTCTTCTGAGGAGTTCATTAAGGTTTTTCGCTGTGGCACGTCGGAACTGCTTCAAGACTTGGAAATCTCAAGCACCTCAAAGCACCGGGTAATAACCACTTGGGATGCCTTCACAAGATCCTTCCAGTTCAGTAGCTAAAGAGACATTCCAAAAACAGCATTCTCTCTCAAGTCAACATGTCGAGCAGCGTGACGTTAAGCACTCTAAACCAGATCTGCTGGCTGGGGCAGGTCCATTGCAGACTCTCACAGTAACTGACTCAGATTTTGGTCATGAAAAACAACTCCTTTATTAAATTAGCACTGATTATTAGATTTTTAAAAATCCCCTAGAAATGACAGGACAATATTAAAGCAAAGTTTTGAAGGATAATTTGTTTTGAGCTGCTGCATTAATTCATGAGAAACTCTTTCAAATTGTTCAGTTATGTGACACCTTCAAGTGTAACGTTCTTACAATATTATTTTAACCAGACTACAAATGTCACAGTCAGAGACTGGAGGGAAAAAAACAACTCGACGATGGCCACACAATAATCTCATTACAATGCGAAATGCATTGAAGCAGAGGGCTTTTGTGCTTTGGAGGCTTGTGGGGTTATATATACAGCATCCAAATCGTTCTTACTTTACTCTTGTTCTTTCTGCAGCAGCCTCTGTGCCTTAGCAACAAAAGCAAACTGCACATGTAGACCAGATAAATGACTACCCTATAGTTGAGTAGACGCGTGTATGATTGGGCCAGGCAAGTCACGTTACATCGTGTTGCCATTCTGCCGGTGCAGAGCTGTTCCATTGTTTGGATTGAGAGGCGGAAGATCTGTCTCTGTTTCCAGCTGAAGCTGTTATTGGGTGTCAGTTTTGCAGTGTTGTTTCATTGTCCCTCTTCATGTGGACATTAGGAAGTCCGGCAGGCTAATGAACTAAAAATGCAACTGTCACGCTTTGCAAATTAATGCATCTGCACAAAAATAATCGGAAAAGCAAAAATCGGGAGAACAGCGGGTTCTGATCAGCAGCCAGGAAGCCTCGGGTTTGCTTGTACGACGTGACCAAGCCCCCATTCAACATCTGATCCTCAGGATTTTCAGTAAGGGGAAATTAATAAAAAAAAGTAGGTAATGGGAATTCAGGCTTCAATACTTTCGTCTGCTATAAGCATATGCCAGGGCTCCGGGTTGCTGCCGTTTGATTGCTTAAGAAAATGAGGGTTGTTTGTCCCAGTTAGGGCTGCGTCTTGCCGGTGACTCTTGGGCGGATTGTCAGTCTAGCCATCTGGCGTTAATGAAAGTAACCATTGAAACTCACTGGGTTGCATTGGCGAATGTGTTGAACTGCTGTGAAGGAGAAACAATAATTTACCAAGTGATAATTGATGGAGTCAAATTAGCATTTTTTATTAGCAATTTGCTCAACTCGCTTTTAGCAATTTAAGAAATAGCGAAGTTACATAGCATTCATCAAACTGGGTGAAAGTTAGAGATTCAAACAACGTCGGTACATTTCCCCACAGCTTTTAAATGTGTGCATTTCTTTTGCGTCATTTTAGGCCTCATTAAAATTGTATTATCGCGACAAAAATACACGAATTTAGAAAATGTTATGTTTGACTTTTTTTGACAGGAGAAAGAGTAATGGTTGCTAGGTTTTTTTTAGAAAACCTCCCGAATCAAAAAATATTTAAGCCCTGTTTTAAATATGTGTTGTTTGGTTTGTACGCTTTGCTTTCTGAATTCAGGTACAGAGCCGTTAAATTCGGCATCAGCTTCGCACACCGTCTGATTTTTGCAGTGTGTTTTTTTTCCCCCTAAATGCTTTATTTTGTTGCTGCAGGCAGTTTTAATCACATCCTGCAGTTTTCCTTTTCTGCGCCACCCCATTAGCCAGCAAAGTTTATTTTTTTTGAAAAGGCTCCTTGGTATTTACGCACAGTTCAAAACTATTTTTAAGAATCGCTAAAATTACAATTTTAGCTAAACCGTGCAAACTGTTCAATGACTAGGATTGCTTTAAAATTGAGATCTTGTTTCATTATAGGACGGGGCGATAGGACATTCTGGTTGGAATAAATCAGTCGCAACTTTTACTAAATGGTTTTAACAATCATGTTTTTTTTTAAAAAGACTTAAAGGGGACTATAATAATTCTTCAAATACCTCCTGTAATATGAGGCAACTGCTGAAATGGAGAAAAAGCCAGTTTATGGTTGGCTTTTTTTTTGCTAGTTTATTTAAGAATTGTAGAAATGTGGAGTTAACAGGTAGGAGTTTATTTCCTCATACCACTAGTTCACGAGAAGAAACGCTAATTATTTTATTGGTAATACTTAGTGGCCGTCAAATCGTTGTTGAATTTACGCCAGCGCTATTTGTCAAGTAACAATGCACTTCAGATGCTCATTCTTGTCATCTGAGGCTAAACAGATCGAGCCAATTAGCTTGATTAGAAAGTGTGAAATGTATCTGAAGTTTCGGTGTCCAAATCTTGAATATTTTGTTTCCAGAAGTAATTTCCTAATTTCTGAATCTGGCTGTAAGCTTTAAAAGAAAGCTGTAACAATTGGCCCATACTATAGTTATTCGTGCTGTAATTCCTTTAGTTTCCACGCAGTGCTTTATTTGCGTTGATAAGAGTTCTCTTTTTTTTACACGATGGAATCAAAATGCATTATTTAAATTTATTTCCAGACTCCTGGTGATGATACAACGAGCTGTTTGAGTGCAGAAGGCTAACCAGTTTTGTGGATTTCACTTGCCTTAATGGAGTTGTCTTTTTCTGCTTGGTATTTTCCCTTTACAACTTGGAGATCAGGGACTTAACAAGCAGTGAATCCGAGGCAGAAACATTCATCTGTTTACCAACTTTCATTTTAAAAACAAATGCTAGTATTGTTCTCTTAATATTCAAACTAAGAGTCACTGTTTAAGAATTAATGGGTCATTTTTCTAAGACAGTGATAAGCAGAAATGTTTTTCTCCACAGAGGGTTGTGAGTCTTTGCTTCAACCGTATTTCGAAGAAGTTTCAAAGCCTTTGATTATTTTTAAGATTGAGACAAGTAAATTCTTGATAAGCAAGGTGTTGGAAGGTTATTTGGGTAGGTGGGAATGTGGAGTAATCAGGTCTTATGGAATGAAAGAGCAGGGACTGAATGGCCTACCCCGTGCCTCTTGTGTAATTACCAAGCTTTCTATTTCAAAGATTTTGGAGCATAGTTTATTTGTTGGCAATGTTTATATCAAGGTACTTGGTATTTTATTCACTTTTTTTTTAAAATTGAGGAATTTAATTTACACTTGTGTGCCATTAGCTGTATTATATAACAGCTAACTTGAATATGCTGTACCTAACATTATACTGTAAAATGGATGGAGGCTGTAACTCTGTCTGTGTGCTCGAAAATTAGAGCTTTAGATAATGAAATCAAGCTGCTACATGTTTATAAAGGATTACGTGGACATACTTAGAGACAACATCACAACACGTGCAGTGCTTTTCTACAGAAGATCACACATTACAGTCACTGCAAACAGAACAACATTAAGGTACCACTTATCCTCATCTTCCACCCCATCAGCCTCGACATTCAAAGGATCATTCTTTGCCATTTCCGCCACCTCCAGCAGGATGCTACCATCAAACACATCATTTCCTCCCCTTACTTGTCATTATTCTGCGGGGACCCTGTCTTCTGTGACACTCTGGTCCGTTCCTTTGCCACTTGTAACACTTCCTCACCACCCCTAACCGCCTACACACACAGCAGCTTTGCATGCAGTCACCAGAGGTACGACTTGTTCTTTTACCTTCTCACTCTTCATTGTCTGGGATTCCAAACGCACTTTACAGATGAAGCAGAGGTTAACGTGTATTTTCAGTCTAGTTTACTGTACACAAACTGGATGACTGCTTAGCAGAATGTGCTGACCTTCCAATTGATTGCCATTTCAATGTACCATCTTGCAGTCACGCTAACATTTTTGTCTTCAGCCTGCTGCAGTGCTCTAGTGAAACTCAGCCTGAGATGAACGAACAGCACCTCATTTTTCATTTAGGCTTTTACAGCCTTCAGGGCTTAACTTTGAGTTCATCGATTATAGAGAATGAACACTACTGTCCTCCATTATTATTGCATCCACTTCTTCAGTGACTTGGTTGCATAGGTTTGTTCTCCACAAGACCAATGTATTTTCTACTATTCACAGTTACTAGTAACACCTATTTTGCATCTATAAATTTCCTCTACTACTGTTAGCACACCCTTTTTCCTCTTGGTGCTCCCACCCTCTTTATCAACAGAATAAAAACATCATTTTCCAGCTCCTTCAGTCCTGAAAGACCATCTTATTCCAGTTGAATGTTAATTCTCTTTCTCCCCCTGCAGATGCTGCCAGACCTGCTACTTTTCTGCAACATCCTCAATACTTTGCTTCTATTACAGCCACTTCAATAAACTTTCAAGATGTTTTCTTTGTTATGTCTTCTAATTCTATTCTACTCTTATCCATTTTTATCTTTTTGTGTTACTTTGAATTTGAGTTCGCAAGTGTAATGAAATTTACACAATGTGAACCATAAGATGTAGGAGCAGAAGTAGGGTATTCAGCTGTTGAGTATGCTTCACCATTCAATAAAATCATGACTAATCTGATAATCGTCCACATTCCTGCCTTTTCCCCATTAACCTTTGATTTCCTACCTGATTTAAAAACGTCTCTCACCCTTGAGTGTGCTTAACAACCAAGATTGAACAGCCCTCTGCAGTTTTTTTTTAAATTCACCAACTCACCACCCTCAGAGAAGATGTTCCTCCTCACCTGTCTTAACTTAGTGATACCTTACTGTTGAGATTATGCCATTTGGTCCTAAACTCTCTTTCAAGGGGAAGCAACCTTTTTTCATCTACGCTATCACGCTACCTGTTTTTTTTTTTAACAACTTTTTCTGAAGAAGGCTCCAGATCCGAAATGTCAGCTTTCTTGCTCCTCTGATGCTGCCTAGCTTGCTGTGTTCCTCCAGCTCCACACCTTATTATCTCAGACTCCAGCATCGGCAGTTCTTACTATCTCTGATTCAAATTATATATACAATTTGAACTAATGAAATATAAATAACAAATCAAGCACAGCCCTACACATGAAAATCTTTCAGAATTAGTCTGATCGTCATCTGGATCTGTGTAACTTATGGCAAGTGCCCAGGTCTTTGCTCCCAAGGTGGACGTGCAATGCATAGCTGAGAAACCTTCTGCCCTCGGAAAACGTCCCCGAGTTATTCCCTTGTTGAAAGGTGGGAGTGTTGATGCATTGATGCACACAAGACTTAAACACACTGCCTATCTCCTGGCACTATAATCATTTTTTTTGAAGCAGTAATAACTTTCTCGCTTATTTCAAGAAAAAGGTGTTGTAAAAGTACCAATTTGTTTTTAACTTTCAACTCCAATATGCAGCAGACTTTTTTTCCATCAAAATTTAAAGAGAAAGGAATTTACTTAACTTGTTCAGGCTTTGAATGTTTTCAAGGACAGTATCCAAAGCCTGGAATAATTGAATGTTGGAAGGCAAAAGAAAACTCACTATCATGAGAAATATGTCACATCTTTAATAGAATAATTGTTAATGAGTTGTAGACATATGTTGTAGAATTAACTTGATTCTAACGTTTCCAACAAATGACTGCTAAAATGAGAAATATTGAATGCACTTGACAATAGTGAGGACAATTACATGTGGAATGACGGTGTATAGTTCGTGACTGATGATGAATATGAGGAAGGTCCCATAAAATGATGTACAACCTGGTGATTGGAAAGAATTGTTCAGAGATTCAGATGATGATCAATGCAGTTTTGAAGGATTTCTGGTGTAAGGTTGTGATTAATTTGTTATTTATATTCATTAGTTCAAATTGTATATACAATTTGAATGTTGTGTAATAAATCTTAATAATTAATATGAATTCTGTAGTGTTGTTGGCTTTTACTTTTATTCCATTGCATTGGCCTTGCTAGAATGTCAGGCTCAAATCTGGAATACTTATTATCCCCTCAAAGCTTAGGCCTAAAAAATGCGTAAGGGATGGAAATTAGAACCAAATATTTCAGAAATAAGGT